GAACAAAGGCTTTTTCCTGTATTATTTACCCTGAAAGGTTTCCTGTAGAGAGGCTGTGAAAGTTTATAGTATTGCAGTTTACTACGTGAGAGAAAGAGAGAGGGAGGCAGAGAAACACACATAGGCAGACAGACAGAGCAAGCGAGGAGAGAGAGAGCGAGAGAGAGAGCGAAGAGAGAGAGAGAAGAGAGAGAGGAGAGAGAGAGAGAGAGAGAAGAGAGGAAGAGAGAGAGAGAGAGAGAGAGAGAGAGAGAGAGAGAGAGAGAGAGACAGAGACAGAGACAGACAGAGAGAGACAGAGAGAGAGAGAAGAGACAGAGACAGAGAGACAGAAAGCAGAGAGAGATAAGAGAGAAAGAGAGAAACATACATACAGACAAAGAGAGAGGCAAAAAAAAAAAAAAAAAAAAACACACAACACACCACAGACAGACAGACGGACAGACAGAGAGAGGGTGAGAGACAGACAGAGACAGACAGACAGAACGAGAGAGAGGGAGAGAGACAGAGAGGAGAGGCAGATAGAAACACAGACAAAGACAGAGAATAAAGAGAAAAAAGGTGTAATCACATTGCAAGCGAGGGATAGTAACACATAAACAAATAAACAGACAAAGAAACAATTCACTGTAAAAAACAATAAAATGCAAAACCATATTTCTATATCCTTTCCTATTTTTTCATCTCTCTTTCGTCTCTTTTATCCGAACCCTTTGACAATAATCCGGTGCGAGTATAATGCAGTACTTATCACATCAAGGAAATAATTGGAGACTGAAAGACATAATCCCTCAGAGCAATATCTCGGTCCAGCAAGTTTGGGAGGAAAAATGAAAAGAAAATTTTGTCTTTTTTAAATTTGGAATCTTGTTTGGTGTTTTTTTTTTTTGTCGTTTTTGAAATGGTTTGTTGTTGTTGTATTATGTATTTTATGTTTGCGTGAAAGAAATCAGAAGTCTGTAATTAATCAGTTTTTTTCTTGTGTATGATTTTTGGTCTATTAATTGTAATCAACTGATTTGTTTGTCTACACGTTTAAAATTCTGTGAGATTTTTTACCTGATATATATCAAGGTACTTGCTCATATATCATTACATCTATACCATTTTCGCAAATTATTATAACGCAAAATATTATAACGTTTTTTGGATGACACCGGTTGATGGCAATGGTAATGTTTTTATTACTCATAGTTCCATGATGATAAGATCATGAACATAATGCGGGGACAGTGAAAGTATGATGATAAATGGGAGAGCAACACACGAGGATAATGCAATGGCACAAGAACAACAGCTGAGAAATACTAGCAACAACAATAACAAAACAGGGACAGATAACACTACTGTTTTTATTACTACCACTACTACTATTACTAGTAGTGCTACTACTTCTACTGCTACTACTTCTACTACTGCTACTACTACTACTACCACTGCTGCTACTACTACTTCTACTACTGCTACTACTACTATTACTAGTAGTACTACTACTTCTACTACTACTTTTACTACTACTTTTACTACTGCTACTACTACTATTTCTACTACTGCTACTATTACTACTACTTATACTACTACTACCACTATTACCCCTACTACCACTACTACTTCTACTTCTACCACCACTATTACCACAACTATCACTACTCCGGAGAGATAAATTAAGAACAACAATGACAACGACAATGCCAACCGCCCACAACGACAAAATCAACACAGATCCAAAGTCAACAATCGCCCCCCCCCCCGAGCCCCAGCCTATGAACCCCCTGCGGCAGCCTCTTTCACTAATTTCTGAAACCCCCACTCCGCCAGCACCTGACCCCCCCCTTTCTCTCATGAACCCAACCCTCCTCTCTCATAAACCCTCCTCTGAAGCTCCCAACCCCAGTCCCTGAAACCATTACACTCCACTCCACCTCTGTCAGCAACTGAAAGCCCCGCCCCCACACCCTCTGAAACCCCCACCCCCAGCCCCTTGAACCCCCGCCGACACCCAACCCCAGAACCCCCACCCCAACCCTTACACCCCCGCCCACCTCAAACCCTTACACCCCCCCGCCCACCTCGAACCCTTACACCCCGCCTACACCCAACCCCAGAACCCCCCACCTCCTAGCCCCTGAACCACCCCAACCCAAGCTCCTGACCCCCCCCCCCTTTCCGCCAAGCATAATACCCCCGCCTTCGAACCCCAGCTCTCAAGCCACACTGTCAACACCTCTCGCAACCCCCGCCACAGAGAGGCGCGGCTGCAAGACAAACACGTGCAACTTGTCAGGCTCGAGTAATCCCGAAGACTAACAAAAGCCGCCGCCACGAGACGCGAAGGCGCTGGGTATGCAGATGAGCCGCAGGCAATGAGGAGGCGCGAGTGGCCGCTCGGGGACGCCGTGCATTCTTTATGATGAATCTGGCTATAAATCGTGCAAGGTAAATATGCTTGCCATTAGGAGATCGACACCACGCCCGCCCTTGGCCCTCTGTGGGCGTGGGG